ATTGATAGTGAAAGTACAGTTTTTAATTTAAAGCGAGTATTTCTTCGCACACGGGAATTTAAACTAAATATACAACGTAGATGGTTGAACTGTGAATAAACTTAATTAAAAGATTAAACGGACGGCACGATAGTGGTCTTAAATTAAAAGAAAATTACCTTTGAAGAATATAAAGATTAAATTTGTTACAAAATTTTAATATACAGTTAAAACTTGTTTGTAATTTGGTATATTTTGTTTTATTTTTCAGACACGGCTTTGAAAAGAAGAACGGTGCTCACGTAAAGTTATACCAAAGGGCTATATCTGCTTTATACATGTTATTTTTATTAGTATCTAGAAAATAAGTCAGAATGTAAAACGTCCATAGAGGTAGCTCTTTCATAATTTAAGGATGTATTTGCAACTGACATTAATGGTCTATAACCGGTGCTTTTATGGCGGACGAGTCTTTTCGTACTCCATCTTTCCATCATCATATCTCTTACATTTCTTTATTTTACAACGTTAAAATAAAAATAAAGTAGTTCATATGATGAAAATCAATAAAAATCGATGTTCCTAGGAAATAAACTAAATATATATGTAAGAACTTATTTAGCACGCTACTTAGATTTTCAGACAAATGTACCAAAAACCTTTATCAGTCTGTTATTTTTTCTGATGAATGTACGTTTTTTTATATTTAGCTACTGCAAATACGTTCTTCCGGTTAAACAATCATTACCGATATTTTAATAGATAACGTTTTTATAACGGTATATATAAATATTTTTTTTACGAAATGTATGGTGATTTTATCTCATCCCTCAGTTATATTTGGTAACGGTGATGGAATGATAACTAGTAATCGGATAGGAATATTGTTATCAATATTCGATTGTAAAAGGTTTTTGTAATGTATACAGTCACTAGATTTGCAGTAGGTGAGAAGTGTTTATACTTACCTACAATCATTAAATTAAACCAAACAAATCATCTTTTTGCATATTTATCTACTTGATGAAATATTTATATTTAATTATAAACGTTCAAACAAACACGTCTTGTTTCATCAAATTTATATTAACCTCTTGCGGAATACATACATTAATATACGTTTTATGAACTGTTATTAAAGATTTTAATGCTTTTTTCACGTTTTATGCCCGCAAATTTACCAAGTTATTCTGTAACTTGTACCAAAACCAAAAACAAAAAGTGATGTAGCATTGTGATTATAAATTAATAAGACAAGATATTTATAAAACTTTTACTATGTGTATCTCTGATAATATCAGTTTTTTAAATCACATCTCTAAAATTGACATAAAAAAATACCTAATCTCAATATCGTATCGTATCTACTGTCGCATCACTAGGTATATTGAAAAAAATATTTTTTTAGATTATTGCATTTTCTAGCTCAATTTTATATGTTAAGTGAATGTTATGATAAATTAAACTAAGTTAAATGAGTGTAATCTCAAATTTGAAGATGTTGGTATTTCGTCAAACAAAACGGCAATTTATTGGTTTTTTTTTCTTTCATTTCGTCAGCCTATCGCAAGGAGCGCCAACAAACCATCTCGGACAGTCCACATTCAACATTATATTTTTATTTTGTCAATTTTTGCATTAGAAGAAATTAAATTATAACTTAAATAGTTACTTTGCGCAATCAGTTGGCGCGTCAAAACAAATTATATGAAGTTTAAGTACTGACAGCCACTAGAGTTTCATTCTTCCAATATATGGTAATATTTTTTCCTTCGAACTGCCTAGAAACCTACCTTTAAAGATAATTTTATTGATAATTAGAAGTAGATTCAAATTAACTTTCAAACATTTGATTGCGTAGTTAACTCAACAGAAGAAAAAAGGCGTCTTAAACAAAACACCAATAAACTCGCCCACCACCCGTATAAGGTTGGTCATAGCCGGATGTAAAGTATCCGCTCAAACTCGAACCAAAATCAAACAATAAAACTAATAATACGGGAGATGATTTTTATATTTCCAGTGTATTTTCTTTATTTTTATACATTTTATACTGTTTATAATTTATTAAATAAAATTTAAATTATCATGTTGTAGTTATTTTATTAACCTTTACTATTTTGTACATGTATGGTGTTAAAGCTAATAATATCTATTCGTTCCACTTCGTCCAACTATTCAACCGATTATGCAATGTTTCTATGCTCAATCGATCGATGAAGCTGTGGACGAACCATATTTCGGCTCATATGGGCTGGATGATACTACGGTATCACGGAAAACAGGTGTTCAGCTACTTTTTCGTTGCTCTGAGTTAGTGAGGTTAATTGAATCAAGAATTGAGTAATTAATAGGTACTGCGATGGCTTCGGCATGTTAATAGGATAGGTGAAGAGCGAATGACCAAGACTCTAAGGCTTCTGTGCGGGCAGGTCCTGAAAGTTATTAACTTTGCAAGTCTTGAAACGCGTGGCCATATATCCACCCTGAACTGGGTGGTAAATCGGAATTCACTTCTAGTTGTTCTTCTGACTTTTTAACCTAAGTACTTATCTATTAAATAAAAACTTGCATCCTGTATTTCTAAAAGTCACATTTTATTCATCATATAACAAAAAAATTCATCACTTATCTACTAACTAAAAAAAATTCACTCGTGCGAAGCCGAGGCAGGGCATGTAGTATTTTATAAATTCTGTTAAATGTCCAGGAAATGACCAACACTAATTTCATTATTGAGTATACGTAATTGTGTATCCTGGATAACTTCGTCTTTTAATGTAATTGGCAATATTTTTCTATATTTTCTGTGCCACAGTTGACATATTAGCGATAAACTGTGCGTTTTTTGAACGCATTTTAAAAACTAAATGTGTATGTTTGTCTTTAATTTATTGTGAAATTGTTTTATGCCAGGTTTCCTGTGAGGCACTCCGAATGAATTCCGAACAGCCACAAAATTTTCGTTTTTGAGCCATGATTTTTCAAAGCTTTTTTACAAATGCCGTCATATTATTTCATCGTTATTTAAAAATGATTTCACAAACAACCAGCCTTCACAAATCAAAGTTAAGGGTTATAGTGGCAACCTTGTCTCACACGGCCGTCTGATACCAAACTAGCCAGAGCCTGTACTATGGTAACCAAACTGCTAATAAACATACTTATATATTTCTAAATACATACATATTATAGATAAATTACACCCAGACACAGAACATATGACCGTGCTCATTACACAATATTTGTCCTGGATGGGAATCGAACCCACGACCTCCGGTTTAGCAGTCAGGTTCACTAACCACTAGACCAACAGGCCTGTCGTTCGTTCGTTGTTGTAAGTAGGGTTTATCCCACTATGTTTGCCTAGGTGATATCACCCAGGTGAAATAATTAGACATAAGAGGAGGCCTTTGTTCACCTTGGAATTAATTCACCCAGGTGAACAAAGGCGAGTTTTTTACTTTTATCACCGACATGAAGAATGATGGTAAAAGCTTTCAAAATTATTCACCGTGGCGTTTAGGTTATCGCATAAATTTAAATGATAGATAACGCGGTTCAATATACGGCGGTTAAAATTAAAATAGAAAATTGTACGAAAATACAGAAATGCAAATTTAGAACAAAATAAATACAATAAAACAATGGCGACTTAAAATGTTGAGATGTGGTAGGGATATACATACACATAAATAATATACACATAGATGTACATACACGTGTCATCACATACACCATACACATACGCACACATATACACATAGAACACATACACACACCCACATAAATACATAAACATACACATATAAATACCCATACACAGTGAAATGCCGATACATAAATATGTTAAAAACAAAGAAGCAGAGTAGTATAGTTTGATTGCCACTTATAAACACATTATTAACACATCAATTAAAACTTTTCTGAACAAATATTCAAGGGAATATGATTATTACGATAATTCGTTGTGAGCGCATCTACAAGGACACAGAACAGCATAACACTCAGTGAATCGCGGTGGCTAAGTGCCGACTGTCTGTACTTACTGGTGAACTAATTAAAAATCCTGATGACGCAATATTCACCATATATCATTTGATTCGAGTGTAGCAAAATGTTTCAACGGTCAACGTCTGATGCTGCCGCGCCGCGTATACAGCTGATCGCTCCAAACAACGCAATGCATTTACACATTATGTTGCAAATTACGAAAACAAAAAAAACGACGGGTTGCACTCCGGGAGTGCCGGCAGAAGTGAAAACTTGAATATTAACGTTGTGCATTTTTGATATTTTGGAATGGTTAGGGAATAATTTTGCACGAATTGCTTTAATAATTGAGTATAAAAGTACTATCATTTATGTAGTAAAATACAATATTTATTTATTGCGCTATCGTACACAAACATGACAATTTATCGAGATGCTGTCACCATCCATGGATGCGCGTGGCACGCCGTAACATATACACACACGAACATTCGCGCAAGCGACGCCTCTCTCCTCTCCTACGCCGCGCCGGCTGTCTACGCTCCACCCGTCTTACGAAATTTCGATCAAGGTCACGTGTTCTGAGGCGAGTTTAACATTTTTTACCCATTACAAAAAAAGTGTACAACGCCGCTAAAGAAGTTTTCACTTCAAAAATTGTCCTGTTTTTAAACCACTGAATATTTTTTTGTAAATCGTGGCGCTTATTCTTTACTACCGTCTTTAATACCATCAGGAATCTGATGGTTTTCATCAATATAACAGATACCCTGGCAATTTTGCGGCCGTCTCTCGGTCCATTAGGTGCCCTGTCTGCTTCTTTGCCCTTCTACATCCCCATACAATGAACTTAACTCCTAAAGATTTTATGACGAAGAGAGAAGAGAACCCTCATTCTTCTTCGGTCAAAACACTTCTTTTAAAAAAAAAAACAATGTAACAAAAAAAAACAAATACCGTGTATTTAGAAATTAAAAATCTCAATAACAACACATATCAAAAAAGACCAATAAATGGAAACGCAAAATTTATCTATTTATAGTCATCATGACAATATTCCTTTTACAAACAGACTTGAACGTGTTGGCGTTAGCGGCTATTGCGTCGTAGACGTCGTTTTCTGTGTCATAAGCAAACTTCGGCAATTTTGCCACTAAACGCGTTCCTTCATCAGGAACACTGTTTTCAGTATATATCTCAAGTACAGCTTTCTTTGTTTCATACGATTGTAAGATATGAGCTGCATCTCTTACTGTATTATTTTCATTGCTATTCATTTTGTTAAGATTACCTTTAGTATTATTTCGCCTTTCCTCATTAGACTCTTTTTCAGGTTTGTCGCTAAGGAGAACTATTTTGTCTTCATCCGATATCGTCAGAATCGTCTTTTGGTTAAGCTTTCTCATTTGGTTCATAGGTGGTGATGAAGGACCGGGAAACTGTGGCATATCTTTTTTGTTTTCCTCCTTGCGTCGTAGTTGCGAATGTGTAGTAATATTCTGTTGAAAACTGAGATGTGGTATAATTATATTCGTTTTCAGCTGACTGTGTATAGAGAAATTCGCGCTGGTAACTTTACTAGATAAATATCTTGAATTTTGAGTTTGCACATCAACATATTCCGCTTCTTTGTAATCGTAGTCATACTCAAAATCTTTTTTTAAATCGCAGCAAGTTTCTTCACTCTTAATGTTTTTAGGCTTACGTTGACTACAACAACAGTTCTCTCGAATATTGCACATTCGAGATACCATTTTTAATCTTTCTGCTACAGTGCTACACATACAATCCTGTTGAGGCGGTGGGGTGTCGTTATCAGTAGTGACGTAACTCGATTTTGTACATTCACTATTGTTCTCTTCGGTTGGATAAATTACTTGTTGGTTGATATCTCTATCTGATATAGCAGCAATACTGTCTCCTCTATAGTAATTTTTCATGCTATTAGTGTCTCTAAAATAATTAGGCTTCAAGGACGCATATGTAACGTCCTTCGCTAAATCCTTTCTTGAATCAATCGGTGCCTTCAGGTCGGGCTCACTGCTGTCTGATGTTAATACTACTTTAAGCGCGTCTCTCAATTTTGTTCGAGTTTTAGGGTTGTTTGATTCCTGTGCTTTTTCAAGGACGTGTTTTAGCATTTTCTTTTTCTCCTCTTTTGTACGAGGCTTGACAATCTTTTCCTCACTTTCTTTTGACATTTCATCTTGTTCTGGAATTGTATCAGGATCATCTGTATCGGTAAACAGTATCGTATTATATTTTAGTTCGGATGGTTTTTCTGTATCTGTGTCTAGTTTTTCGGAGTCCGTCTCTGGTTTTTCTAAATCTGTTTCTGGCTTTTCTATGTCTGTTTCCGGTTTTTCTATATCTGTGTCTGGCTCTCTCTCATCTTTTTCTGCCTCCCATTCATCTTGTGTTTCGGTAGGCTGGCTTTCATTGTTACTAGACCTTGATTGTGAATCTCCATCTCCAATTATAGACAGTCTATCTTCAATAACGCAACGACAGATAGATTCTTCCGTTGCACGCGATGATATTTTTTCAGGTTCTTGTTCTAATTGTTGACTCTTCACTCCCCGATTTTCATGCCCGCTTGACTGCTTTTCTATTGACGATGTCAGGTCTACCGTAGCTCTGTGTATAGAAAATGTACGATCAGTGTCTTCTGGTGCAGTAGAAACTGAATGGAATTTGGTGGAAATTTGTTTGGCAAATTTTTTTACGTAATCATTACGTTGTGTGAATTTCTTACTTCCTTTGGGTTTAAAATTCTTTATTACTATACGGATGTTAATATCATTTTTTCCATCAGATTGGTCACCGGTGTGCTCTCCGTCATTGTTAAGTACGAAGACATCTTGAGGCAATTTGTTTAATGGTTTATCTTTTATGCTATCTTCGACATTGACATTGTCATTTGCTACATTGATCTCTGTTGTTTTGTTGCCTTGTGTAACCTTAAGTTTAAATTGTATTTCTATTGTGTTTGCTATACTAGTATCGCTTCCCTCTTCTGAAACCTCTTTATGACAATCTTTACTAGAATTTGTTTGACCTGGTAAAGTTGCTGCAACTCTGTGCACATGGGAATGACGATATAAATCTCCTAAAAGAGATGGTGAAGTCCTTTCATATACTGGTGGTCGTTGCCTATAATCCTTTCTTTCATATAAAGTCATCCCGTCTTCATCTTGGACTTTTATATTCAAGCCTTCTCTGATTTCTTCAGTACTTGGTGTTTGTTTTTTCAAACGAATGGTTATTTTGTCATCAGAATTAAGGTCGATACAAGCGTTATCTGGCATCGGATTTTGCCAAATTACACATTCTGCCGAATTACTCTGCTTCTTAGAAGAAGGAGACATTCTTAAGTGAACTCCAGTAACTTTATTCTTATTAGGTGTTTGCGGGCGTGGTGGGTGTTTAGTAGGGAGGGAGGGTGGAGCTATTGATGGAGGTGGTGGCGGTGGACAAGGGGGAGGCGGTGGTGTTTTAGGTACAGGGCATTCTATCTTTTTCTGGCAAGCAGGTTGTTGAGCAGTTTGGTCTGGGTGATTCGGACAAGATTTTAGACATGTTGACTGTTTTGGCGGTGACGGAGGTATAGTTTCACATGACATCTTAGGTGTTATTAACTTTCGACACACAGATTTCTCATTGCCGCACAGTGGTGATGCGACTGATTGTGTAGACTCCTGTTTTGTTTTAATTGGAACGCAGCAACCACTCTGCATGTGCATAAGACCTGAAGACTCTTCTCTAAGGTTTTGTGATTTTGTTTCCTCATCAGCAACACATTTACCGGGACATGGATGGATGGGCGAATATCTGAAGGGAGCGTCATGTTCTCGTCCTTGGCCTAATGAGCTATATGATAATACTGCCGATGCCACTGAAAACTTCTGGCAAATTGGCGAGCAGGGCCTTGGAGAGGCCTGATGACAGCAGTGGGATGACATACATATGGGCTTTCGTAGAGAAGACGACTTGCAAGGCGGTGGGTTACATGGAGGTGGATAGCATGGAGGAGGCTTGCATGGAGGGGGCTTGCAAGGAGGGGACTTGCAAGGTGGAGAAGATGGACTAGAAGGAGATTTAATTTTTGCCAATATCTTTTTTAAGCCAGTTTTTGTTTTGCAAGGTGGAGGTAAAGCAGGACACAAAGAAGGATCTCGAACGCAACATGGTTCAGGAGCTCCAGGGCAGAGCTTTTTAGGTGCTTTTGGACATGGTGAACGACAGCATGGTGGTGTATAAGGACATGGCGGTGTAGGTGGGCACGGTGGAGAATGAGGACATGGTGGTGGTGAACATGGTTGGGATGGTTCTGGACATGGCGGTGGTTTTGGACAGGGAGGTGGTTTAGGGCATGATGATAATTTCGTACATGGTGGTAGTTTATGACAAGAGATAGGTTTATGACATGAAGGACATTTATGGCATGAAGCTGATTTATGACATGACGTAGGGCATGAAGGTGGTTGAGGGCACGATGGTGGTTTATGACATAAGGGTGGTTTACGGCTTGTCTTTGAAGGTTTTTTTGGAGGACATGGAGGTTTCTTACATGGGGGGGGTGAATAACATGGTGAACTATAAGGGCATGTCGATGGTGTGGAAGGACATTTTTGGGGTGTTTGTGGTGGACATATTACTGCATATGGACATGGTGGGGATAAACGCGGACACGGCAAAGATGAATGCGGACATGATGGGGGAGAAAATGGACATCGGGGGAACGTATGCGGGCACGGCGGAGGTGTATGTGGGCACGGTGGAGTTGTGTGTGGACACGGTGGGCTCATAGCACAGCATGAAGGTGGTCTTCCGGGACAGGGTGGATGTGAATGAGGACATGGCGGACGTATAGGCGAAGTTTTACGACTGACAGGTGGACTCCTTAATTTTATACCAGTCGGCTTATTGCATGGACTGGAAGAAGAGCTGGATTTGGAACTGGTATTTGAACACGTGGGCGACGGCACTTCGCAATTAGGTGGCTTTTTGCAACGCGGTGGCGAAGGCTTTTTACATGGAGGTGGCTTTTTACATGGCGGTGGTGACGGTTTTTTGCAATTTGGGGGAGATGGTTTTTTGCATGGGAGAGGAGATGGCTTTTTACATGGGAGAGGAGATGGCTTTTTACATGGGAGAGGAGATGGCTTTTTACATGGGAGAGGAGATGGCTTTTTGCATGGGAGAGGAGATGGCTTTTTGCAAAATGGAGGAGATGGCTTTTTGCATGGAGGAGATGGCTTTTTGCAGGGTGGGGGTGACGTACTTTTGCAGGGAGGCGTAGGGACAGGCTTGCAAGCCGTGCACGGGGCAGGGGGTGGGCAAATAACTGAAACAGATATTGGCGGTGAACACGGTGATGAACAGCATTTGGTTTTAAACATTTCATCGCAAGACACTTTTGAATTTCGACAAGGTGGCTTTTGCATCCTTTCGCATGAACTTCGACAAGGAATTGGCGGGATTTGACAAGAAGGTATAGGGTTTACTTTAGTTTCTTTTTTTCCAGTAAAAGCCCGAGGTGTGCCCTTAACTGACAGAATACTTTCAGGTTCGCAACAATCATTTAACTTTCCGATCAAGTCATTAATTTCTTCACAGTTTGGTAAAGATACATGTTTAGTATCAATAGGCTTTCTCTTTGGCTTCATCTCTGTGGGTTTCCAACAGGGCTTTATCTCTTTCGTACATGGGGAACCGGATGATTTACATTCATAACTGGGCATTGAGGCTAATGGGGTTTCACAACAAGGTGCTCCAGTCTTCCACTTAGCTTTATTGCTTTTTGCGTATATTCGCCTTCTCCTAAAAACCTCGATAGAATCTTTAGGACACACTCTTTTGGGGTCGTATATGTCGATAACTTGTGATTTCGTCATTTTATCATTTGGTTTACGTTTCTTCAGTACTTGATACCAACATGGAGCCTTTTCAGGCTCTGGGTCATAATCTGGTGTTATAAACCTGCTTGACGTGTCACAAGAGGATACTATAGTTTGATAGTCATCAAAGATGTTAGGACAAGACTTAGTCCCATCACCTTGCTGGTAAAAACTCGTCTTTGATGTTTCTGAGCAGCATCGTAGATGAGAATCGCTGATACACCACGAGAAGAGATCGAGGCTCAAAGGGGTCCAATTGCGGTAGTAATCTTGCAAGTAGCTCTCAGCAAGTTCGCATTTCTTATTCTGCGGTTTTAAGTCGTGTTCGGACTCATCATCGGAGGGGTAGTCTTCAATCTTCAAACTGCAAAAATGAAAAGACCAATTAAGTAAATTATAGGTATTACAAGACTATGGCTTATATAAGTATTAGGTCTTTACCTATGAAGTTGGAGATTTGTATGAAATTTTTAAATATAAAAATTTTGGTTATTTTAACTAATCAAAGTACTATCCCAAATTATGTATACAATCTTTACATTTTGATGGCAGTTTGTTTATCCTGTTACTGTAGAAGTCTGCTAGAAGGGAGGCGATGAAGTCAGGAAGCGTTTTGCACTGCCTTTTGGGTGTTGAATTTATTCCCACTTCTAAAATTGTATAAATTTTGATAAAAGTAGAAATATGTTTAGGTCAGGTCCAGTGAGTACGGTGCGTGACAGAGAGCTTCCATCTGTAACTCTTGTAGCTTTGCGATAGTCTGTCGTGAAGTGTAAGCTCGCGCGTTGTCGTGGAGATGGAGATTGACCAGTCGTGGTTGTTGAATTGCAAGCTTCTTCATCATTGTTTGCAATTCTTGGCAATACACATCTGGCGTCTGTGTTGTACCATTCAGTAATAAGCTGTGATGTACAAGTCCAGCACTGGTAAACCAGACAGTCCTATCATCTTCTTATAGCTATTTTTTTAGCGTAGTGATAAGGTGCTGTATCCTGGTCCATCCACTGAGATGAATGCTTACGGTTGTCGTACAGGATCCACTTTTCATCGCAGAAAATCGATTCTGAATTCCCTCGTTTATATGCCAATTTAGCTCAGCCGTAGATTGAGTTGGATCTGCGTCCATCATCGCCTTTAATTCGTCGTTGTCGACTATAGTTACCGGCCTACCGCGAGGCTCGTTCTTCAATTCAAATTTCCAGATCTAAAACGTTTGAACTAATAATGGACCACGTTTATGCAAGCAGTGTTAGGCCCGTACACGTCATTATTGTTTCGTGTTGTTTGCGCGACGGTATTTCCACGTAGGAACTCATATTCGAAAATTGAACGAATTTTCAGTTTATCCATGGAGCCAAAAAAAATGTATTTGAATTTTTGAATTACGCGTTAATCTCCAGATAACTTAATCTGTAAATGCTGGTTTTAAGAATCTCCAACTTCATAGGTAAGACCTATTATATAATAACAACTAACATAATTTTCATCATAAATTGCAAATATAAATATACAATGCCCTGAAGTACAAAACCATTCCAACCAACCCGTCTGGCCAGCGTGGTATAGTAGGCCAAAACCTCCTTCCTAAGGAGATGCCTATGTCCAGCAGTCGACTAGTAAAGGCTGTTGATGATGATGATGATACAACCATTCAAAACTTAGATGGGCTTCTGCAATTATTTGGCTGAGAAATTTATTTAATACGATTCTATAAAAATAGAAATATTATAAAAAGGGGATCGTCAACATGAGCCCCAGCATGTAAATAACTGAGTACAATAACTGAAGTAATGCAGTTCATTAAAAACGATTACCGACTACGATCAGAATAGACATTTGAATATTTTTAAACGATTTTTATAAAGCAGAAGGTTCACTATTGGGCTATTTGTTTACCTTTACAAATTACAATAAAAATACCACAAATTATAATGGTCAACAAGGAATATTCTTTATTAGGAATATACTATATTTTTATAGTATATTAATAATGTAGGCGTACGTCGGTGAGGTACATTTTTTAATTTTTTTAGAGCTAGACGTAGATTTTGTATATATCTCGGTATTAACCGTCGTCGTTTATACAATGATGATGATGATATCCTCCCAGACGTATCCGTCGACGGCGACACCCTGTCACGTCTTAACAGCTCCGTTTACGCTCATGCCCGTACGTGACTCGCAAAACTGAATTTGGTTTTGAATACACAGTCACATGAGGCATAGTGAAGCTCACCACGCGTATCGTAAGTGTAGTTATAGGAGGGCTTAGGACGAGTTTTGCGTTTATACAATACAAATATAATGTCAAATTAATGCTTGAATCCAAGCTGTTTTCTCAGTCGTTGAAGTAAGTCTACCATTAGCAGACCAGACAATTCTAGTAAACATACTAGGACATATTTAAACAAACATACTAGAAGGTTAATGTATTTGCCTGGTTACTATAGTACAGGCTCTGCCTAGTTCAATCGACGTAAGATATGTGAAGTTATTATTATTATAATACGAAATATATACTTAATCATACTTACATGGGCTTCCGTGAGTCGCTCAAATGCATATCTCTACGCGTGATAATTCCTACTCCAATCACATCACATCTTTTGGGTATACAAACGTTGCTGCCCTGAATTAACACTTCTCGATGTGCTGGTGGAGATTTAATCATTGTCTCTACAATTCTTGGCTTAATGTCTCTATTACTCTTCACACTAACTGTTACTTTTATATTATTATGTTTGTGATATCCTGTATCTAATTTGCGTGTGTTTCTTTCTTTTTTATTATCACTTACTGATTCATACTCAACAATTTTGTATACTTCTTCATCGCTAGATTGACTCTGTTTATTCACATCCCCTTTATTTCTAATATTGTTGCTGTCAGCGCTTGCTTCACTAGAATTCAAGAAGAATCCTTTAGGTATATCTATTCTCAAATACTCAGAGCTTGCTTTTTTATTGCACCTCACAAAATTTTTGGAAAGCAAAACAACTTCTATTTTGTGCGAAAAGGCTTTAGATTTGTCTATTAACCATTTTTGATCAGAAATCCTGACTTCCATGTTTTCATTACTAGGTTTTCGTGGCTCGGGCCTAGCTTGAATAGGAAGCTTGTGTGGGTAATCTGTTATAGTTTGTGGTATCATCCAAGCTTCTATATTTTGTTGCATGAAGTTCACTTGATGGTGCCTCGTATATGATTTGTAATAAGAGGATTCTATAGTAACCTCACTCTTTGACCTGAACACCTTACCGGGGTCTTTGTATACATTATCCATAAGTTCGAAGACTGTACTACTACTTGATGTGTATGTTTTATTGTTCCACCTTACTTTGACACTATTTCGTGAGTCAATTTCTTGAGAAAGATATTTCTGAAGCCAAGCTGACTTCATAGTTTCTTCATAAATTTCAGACATTCCATCTAGTCTCTTATTTTGCGCTTCTGGATCATTAGCTATATTACCAATTTTAATCATCAACCCGTCTTTTACTTCACAACGACCAGCCGTAACACCTTTCTTAGTCTTAAATGGCTTTTCTTTGTTCTTCTTCTTGAAGAAAAAGAACTTTCGTTTTTCTTTTTCTTCTGCATTAATCTTGGAGGATATTTTCATTGATCTCTCTTTCTTTACTCCTTTTTTTGAAGTATAAGAAGATTTTGGTGTAGCATTTGGTCTGTAATGATCATCTTCTAGATTAAATTTTTTTCCCCATAACTTAAACATACCTTTAACTCCTTGGGACTCACTGTCATCTTCATCAGTTTTAGGCCATGACATAGCGTTTCTGTCCGTTTGTTTACTACTTATAGACCTTTCGTAGATTGATTGAGGGGAGTAAGGAATAGTTTTATCATGTTCAACGATTGATGGAAATGCGTGAGGACTATAAATTTTCGTATGAGAGTAGGATCTGGCCTCCAAAGATGGGGGGTCTGAATTTATAGAAACGTCTCGATGACTAGCAGCAGACATGTTAACTTGACTCGACATTTTACTTAAAAAAACAGAATTTTTTGAAGAATCTTCTTTTCTACCTAGACCACGCCGAAGCGCTTCAAATCTGCGTTTTAAAATAGATGCACTCTTGTAGTCAGGCAAACGGCTATCAGTACTAGATTTTTTTGACTGTTTGGATTTGGTTGTAAATATTTTTCTGTATTCTCTTTCAAGTTTGTTTTCCATGGGATCGTCAGAACACCGACTTTGTTTATCAATCATAGGGCTTTCTAAATCATGAATGTGTTGTACTAAAGAATCTGAAGAATATTTGTCTTGCGCTGTAAATTTTTCTTTGACTGCGCTTGAAATGGCAGCTGGGTGTTTTGTAATTGTTATCTTAATTTTTTCTTGGTTTAACTGTTGCTGACTTTGGGGAACATGTTTAGTCGATTCCTTTGACTGTATATTTATTTCTATTTCCTTGTTAACACCGTCTTCTACTTGTGTACTGGTATCAGTTAGGCTCTTGGTAATAGTGTTACTGCCAATCTTTATATCTTTATTCTCAAGTTCCCGCGGGCTGGTAGATCCCGATGCAGTTTGTATGATTGGTGACAATTTTTCGCTCATGACGCTAACTGTGTTATAATCTAATATACCACCGACACACTTTGATGTCGTTTTTTTAGTCTCATAATATCCCCTTGGCACGTATTGTCTTGGCTTACCTAGGAACAGAAAACTGAGATAATTTTTTTTCTTTTCATGTTTTAGTCATCTAATTCATACTAAATGGGGTTTTCATCATTGTAGCATTTATTTTAGTTAATAATGAAAAATCTGAAAAGCAATATTACAAGTTAAAGGACCATTGAAGGTAAAGACATCTTTTGAAGTGTATCAATAAACTGTTTCAAACAGTTTATTTCAAAAATGAAATGAAATTCCTTAAAAATGATAAGATCTGAAAGACACTTCGACTTGGATTAGTCTGCAACCATTACATACAAACTGAAGCAAAATGACTATTTATACTGGTGATTGATGGCACTTGGTGGAACTTGGTACACATATTGAATTAAGTCACTAGTACTATTCAACATTATTGATTTTATTATAATAGAGGAAGCATGTTGCTGTCTATAAATTTGTTGTGTGCGGCAAAATACTCAAGTCTAAAAGCTTAAAGTCGAATTGATAGGAAAAGGGGCTGTTACAATATTCGGATTGTGATATAATGAATCTCCAAGCAAGCCTAGTTAACCAACCTGCTCCTTAGTAAGCTGATTAAATAAAAAAAACGCACTTGAATTTGAAATGATAGTTTAAGGGTGGTAAAGAAAAAAAGTAGGAAAATTATCAAGATGGGTGTGGTTGTCAATTACCGTGATAAGCCCGTTTTATTTTATAGTGTTTAAGATACAGGTGGCTAGTCAATAGTAAAGTAATTAACTTACGAAGCAAGTAATTTGTTAAGTCCGAACTTCCACACCCCCTGTCATTAGTCTCAGGCAGGTATATTCTTTTAACTTTTTTTCTCTGAAACGGTTGAACTGTACCTATCCCAATATCTGTAAAACTCCTTGATTTCTCGTGGTAAGCGAAGACTTGATTTGGGGCAATCGAGTATCTAAAATCTTGCTTTTTCCTTACACCAGAAAGGTTTCTACACGTGCATACTAGGTTATCCCTCTTGCAATCGTACTGGGTCCCCACTTCTTGGGTTTTTTCATATCTCAGAGACTGCAAAGTCAGGTCTCGGTCTCTGATGACGTGGCTTACGTAAAAATTGTAATCCCTACCTAAATTTTCTTTAATATTACGTTTTGTAACATAAACAGCTTTGCTCTCTTTCATTTCTTCTTGTGTATAGCATTATTCGGTTCCGAGGCTCGCATTTTCTTGCAATTCTAATTTTGTATAGAATTTTTTTAAGCAAAATTTCTGTAATCAAAGTATGTTAAAATTGAGAGGTGCTGAACCAAAATCACTTGCTTGGAATAACATTCTTAAACAATTTTACGTTTCTAAGAACTGCTGAACGAAAAAGGTTTGAAGTGGCAACAGGCTGACTGAAGGCGTGGTTTTCTTGACTAGATGATGTAATGACCAGCAAAATGGACAAGATGATGACTTAAGTTTTACAGGCACTCCTCATACCAGGGCCTCAATTCCGATAATTTAATATTGTATCAATAGACTGTCGATGGAATGTCCTCGGAATAGTTTTCTACTAAGACAAATGAGGCTGACAATGATGACTTATCACTGAACTGCCATTGATACAAATGTCGTCGATGTCTTTGTAATAGTTTGGTAAATAGCACATTTTAAATTTGTAAGTAAACTATATATTTAATTGGCCAGATATGACAATTATGTTGATATGATCATTGATGAGTCATTGTCACTACATTGACGGTCTATTGACAATGTAAAGGCGTTTTAATGGAATCTAAATAGTGTGTCAATAGAATGACAGTGGCTTGTACCTTAACATAAAACAGCAGAATTGAGACCCAGATTACCTTCTTCAAACCGTCCGTGTTTTATCAAATGGATTAATACGCCAGATTCGGGTTAGCCATTTTGAGGACTATTCTTAAATGGTTGCCCAGTACATGTTTATTACAATCGAATAAATATTTCAATTTTTTATGCACAAGTAAGTATGAGTTGTAAAATGACGGACTTAATGCCACAGATATTTTCTCCCAGTCTACCTTAGGGTAGTGCTGAAATGTGTGGCTGGGTGCACTAGACAATGATATGTAAAGTAAAAGATTTTTTTTATAAATTAGACAGAAACAATGCGAAAAATATACATACATACGTACCAAATCCATACACATACATAAATACTTACCTAGTTACATACATAGATAAACCTACATATTAATAATATCTGGGGTGTCCAGAATGTGAGCTCGAACTTTCATCTTGAACGAGAGGCGGCTGGGTGCTATACTGATTTCTAGAGGGAGAGCGTTCCAGAGGAGTACGGATTGGATTAGGAACGAGGAGTCACAAGCGGAAGTCTGAGTGGGGCATTAATTACTGTAGGACGCAAAAAAGAATCTTTGCTGATCAAGGCAGAGGAGAGGAGTGGAGAACCTTCATTGATTCATTTTAATACTTATGTGTGACTTCAGTGAATAATAAAACCTTACTAAATTGCCAACGTAGTAGAATTGTTCTATCGTGGTTGGAACACAGAAATTGGAATGAAGATGTCAGGTAGGTGGGGGGAATGGGTGAGTTGAGAATGGAATAGAGAGTGATGAGGGCGCGCAGCTGACGGCGCTGACGAATAGAGAGCCAGTTTAATTCGCAAGTTATATAAAAATCGATTATTTTTAAAGCAAATTAGAGACAAAAAGAAGAAATTGATAGAGTACTTATATCGTCTGTAATACATATTCGGCGTTACAGTTGCAACTTTATTAGAATTTTTTTATTTGGATTATTAAATAAAATACCACACGTTCTTCCGTCACAAGTAGGTCTAGTTTAATTATCCAGAAAACATTGGCACGCATTGGCCGCCTGTTGATCAGGCTTTCCACAGTACCTAACTCGACCCAGGCGAGGTCTTCTGGTCTCTACTAATCTTTTAGCTTTTATTATTTTGTACCCTATTGACGTTTGAAAGTGCTCTATAATAAGGCCTACTCAATAAAGATTGTTTAAGGCCTTGCCCTAGTCAGGTAATTAGGTGCGCCACATGTTTCATCTCAGTCTTAGATAGTATAGTTAGAAATGTAATAAAACAAAAGGATTTCAGAAATACCTATAACTTGACACGCACTTTAACAAATCAAGCTAACACAAAATATCTAAAAATGAAATCGTTAATTATGAACAGATCGAAGTAATTCTTTGTCTAGGACAAAGGTACCATAGAAAAGCCCAAACTGCACAGATAAACACACTAAACAAACCGACTATATCCAACTCAATCCCTCGCAGCTCCTTATGAATAGAACTAAAACATATTACACCATGAAGTCGCCTGACAAGTAAAATATGGATATTATCAAAGCGGAGATGCTTGTGCTGCCTTTACAGAGTACTGCCACGATCTAAAGTCCTGCATTAAAGGCTTTTAAGACACCGGTTAAAATACTTCATGAATACAAGATCTTGTCTACAACATTCTATGTTCGTTTCTATCGAGAACTTCAATCGAAGTGCATTCAAACATTTTACTCGCTTGTTTTCAATTTATATAATTATTAATAACATTCTTACCTGACAAATAATACACGAAACTACGAAACTAATTACAACACTTGTTAAATTTTAATATTTTCAATTTTTAACTAAATTTTGCTAAGAATTTTTTTCAAAAACTGTCACATCTGTCATGGTTTATTTTATTGGACAGGATTTTAGGTATGTAGAATTCAACAAAGAAGATTATAATACAAATTCATATAAAGGGACCTACGAAGGTTTAAGATAAGTTGTTTTGAATCTGATAAACATTAAACGTAACTAAAAAGCAAGGTCTGAAAAAACCTGTTGGATTAGAATATCTAAACTAATCTAATTTAATACTTGATATTTATTCTCTACTATCTATACCTTTATTTAACTCTATCTAAATATGGTAATTTACAGGTAGACCGATCCAACATGGATGTAGCCCCCCCTTGAGCCGTCACCCACCGGGGTTCACACGAGTCGGACCGACTAAAACCACACGGTGTGCCACTGCGCCTGAAATAGGAGGGAGGAGATGACGTCTTCGCAGAAGGATGCAACCGCGCTAAAACATTTGTTTCTGCCTGCCATGGAGCGTATGACGGCTGCTAGCGAGAAATCCCCCACGGTGATTGCAGTGAGGCCCCGACGCTGCGTCGCTCCAGCAAAACATACCGCACGCATGTGCTGAGTAAATACTCACCGCAATCGCAGTGGTGACAGGCGGTACTCAATTCCCTCCAAGCGACCGAGTCAGCCGTGTCCCGAAAGGGCCTAATTCAGTTGGAAAGAATGGATCCTGCGCTGCCGCCCTGCCCACTCGACGATGACCAGCTGGAACCCCTTCCCGGTGGTAAAGCTCGCACGTGGAGCCTCCAGACGGGATCACCTACGAGCCATCGTGGCTCGGCTACCTGCCTCTCGCCACTCGCGAACTTTTTCGCGCGGAATCCGACTGCCACTACTCGCCCCGAACTAAGCCGTTGGCCTATAAACTTCGGCGAGCACTTCCGCCTCCAAATCCAAGTTCAGTTCAGTCAATATAGTTCCCACTAGTAGTAAAGATACCGTAGCAAAAAAGAAATCATATCGACTTAGCTGGATTTGAAAGTAACCAGTAAACCAATAACAATTACAATAGTTTCAGAGCGATAACAAGCAGCATAATTTGTCAATTCGAGCGATTTTTGCAAACCATTGTTAGTACAGATGGTTTGCAAAAATCCTTCAAATTATAAGTTAAGTTGAGTATGATACATGTTTATTATTATTAACATTAGTAACTGTTAATTATAATAAACAGGTATATTAAAGCTTAAACAGCTAATTATCTGGTGATTAGCTGACCACTGATCATAGACAAAGCTCCTGTAGATGTATAAAATATCTAACCTAAAACACACATCCCCTTAGGTCAGTTCTAAACCTAACCTGTATTAAATATGCCTTCTCTTACTGTACTACAATATTTACGAATACAATAAATGAAATTTTACTTTTGTTGTATTTCATAGTTTTATAAATATATAACAAAGTCAGAACTTTACTATTACAACCAAGGAGGATTAAGATTCCTCTTTTTCTTTGGAGCTAATTCTTAATGGTATTCTGCTGTCAAATTCGAATTCAAGTGAACATCAACTTGTGAATGTACAAATAATATTTTATTTACATTATTTATAATTACTAATGTAATTTTAATCAACAACTGTGCCAGTAAACTATGTAAGGATAAAATTGAAGCACACGCAATCGTAAGATACATGTTTTAAATATTTTTTCATTATATTATACAATACAATATATGTATCTAAGACTAGGATGGATGTCACCCTGTGCTGAAGTGCTGTTGTGATAACAAAAGCCCTCTTGATTTAGTTCAAGTAGATAGTGTACACTACGTACATATACATATATACATAAAGTAACCGCGAGAGTTAAATGCTAAACTTACGAATATATGTCACTACTATTTGTCACAGTAGTAAGGGAAGCACTTACCGCACCAGTGGTTAACTAGTGGAAGCACTCACAATACCAGCGGTTTACTTCAAGTCTTGTTATCTTATACCACCTGTACTGGCATTGTTAAAACATGGCTTCTGTGTGGCACCTAAGCTTCCTCTTGACAGATACGGTAGTAAAATTCAAAACTAATTTTGGATTTCGGTCATAGGCCTCTGGAGAAAAAGAGCGGTTCGTTCCGTATGAAAATGAAAATTTTATGTTACCCAAATTTTATTTTATGTTTAAAATATTAGAATCGTCAATCGTCCATCTCGATAAGAAGAAATTTTAATGCTTTAAAATTACCTTTGATTGGATTTTTTGAACTTTCATGGGTAAAGGGGGAAATCAAATCAGGTTCGTTGGTCGTAGTTAGTCATTTTCAAAATTAGAAACACGAAATGGAAAACAACTAGCGAAGCCGTGAGCAGTAACTAGTATTACTATAAGATAAAGACCGATAACGATTTTTGTTCCAGAAGTTCACATGATATCAAATACCTCAGGCAAAAAGATAAGCATCTACATAACAACTTATAAACCGGACTTTAGGTGGAAAAAAGACTTAGAAATGGATAAAAGAAACAACAAGAAAACATGCAGAGCAAAAAATAATTTTTGCTCAATCTGTTTAAAGTCTAAGTTTGAACAAAGAGACGGAGATTATTATAAATTTGTTACCCAATCATGCCCGATATGCCAGAAAAATTGCGATTATTGCCACAATTCGACCAAAGACAAAGAAATATGTGACAAAACTACTTTAGAGAATTTTCGTAATGTGAAAGATGTACAGACATCGGACACAAACGTTACTCAAGGCTTAAATCTTTTGAATGAAGTGTTAACTGTTTTTCAAAAGAAAAAAGGAGATATTAATAAGGACAAAATAAAACCAGTACATTCGAAAGACGTAGCTGTATCTACTGATAATACAAAGGATTCTTCCAGACTGACAATCAGTAAATTCCACTACTCCATTGAGGACAGAAAAAAGCCAGAAATTGGGGCATTCGTTATCGTAAACAGTTTTCAGCCAGATTTTATTAGAAAATCACAGTACTCCATAGATTTGATTAAACATAAATCTTCTTCGATACCACAGATGAAGTTAGAAGAGTTAAAATATTCTGTAAAGGAGAAGTCTAAGTCAAAGGACGCGATAGAAGAAGTAAACAGAATGTTTGCCACAGTGAGAAAGACTGATAAATATATTGAAAATTCAAACCGACCTATGGTTAGAAACGGTCCTAGAGTGTTACCAGTAGTGAAAAACATGGTCGGACAGGATACGATGAGTGCACATATGGAGAATGTAGAAAAAAATCCTTGCACGTGTTGCCAGACTTGTATGTCAAGCGGGGATTCGTTCACGAAGTTGGAATGTGGCCATGATGTAAATAATTCAAACCACGATAGAAATGTATACATGTTGTGTTGCCATTATCAAAATAAACAAAAAATGCAAGCTGGCATGCTGACCTGTGACCATTGCAGGAGTTCAAAAAATAATTATCGCTGTGAACACGAAAATTATGATGATTGTTAGTTTTGTATTAATTTTTGTATACTTTTGTATAATTTACAATAATAAAGAATGTTTTTACTTGTAGGTTTGTTATTCATTATGGGACTTCTTCAAATTCTGGCCTTCCTTTCTTCATCGCTTAAATATCAGCTTGTAGTACGGTTAAATATTCCTCGAATCAAACAGAATGGCCTAATGGAGTTAAAAAGTTTTACAGCGTAAGATTTCATCCGGTAACTTCACTCTCTCGGTAAAATGTGACGAAAGAAAATCTTACTGGTGTTCTGTGAGGCCGTGTTATCACCCTGGTCGAGCTGGCCCAAATGTGCTGAAGCATGGCTCTGGTACAGAACTATTTCACCTTAGAAATGGTTCCTGTAACGGTCGGTGTCCGTCACTTAGACTTCGCACAAATATTTTTTTCCTATTTGTAAATTTACTTCTCAATCGATGCAACCTAGTGACACTTTAAGCACCAGTGTGCAATCAGTTTAGTTATAATTAGAAGGTCGACATATATATGCTTAACAAATTAGTTCATTCGCGTTAAGAAAATAGTGACGCATTGACCAATTCAGACCACCACTCGGGTTCAGAGCTTTCGTACAAAACGATAATTTCTTGGAACGAGTTTGGTCAGAGGTTCTTAAAGCGAAAGTAATGGCGAATCATACCGTTAAGGCAATCCGGTGCCCTTAGCTTTTATTTTGTTTTATAATTGATACCCTGATGATTGCTACCCTGGTATGGTATGGATTATACCTGGTAGATATATCCTCTTTTTTAAATTAACCGTCTAAGAAATAGGACTGCGTCTTAAAACGCTTAAAACTTTTAATATTTCATGTAAAGAGAGAATGAACTATCAGACAACAAATCTCGTGTTGTATTTGGTATCACGACTTATAAATTAAAAAAAAACAAATAACATAAATAAATTTATTAAAAAATTATTTTAAAACTATCTTATAAAAAACTCATAATTTAAATTAAAAGTAAAAACTCTCTGCTACCAATTTCTTATCGCCTCTGAAACAAAACATACAATTTATTTTGCATTGATGTACACATTTAAAAACCTTCAAAAACAATTAGTACTGTGTGAATACAACCTCAGATAAGTAGTCACATAGTTCCAATTAGTACTGACCTATTATTATCGGAGTGCTTGTTCCTGCTCCTGTCTATTTTCTCGCTATGACATCTTTCCCATTCGCGAGGCGAATCTGTTCTGAAAACAACATTATGTTAACTTCTTAGAACGAAGCCAGTAAAAAGTAACCCATGTCCTTCTTCAAGAATCACAATATCTCTATCTCATGCCAAATTTTATAAAAATCAGTCAGCAACATATATACAAACAGAGTTACTTCGCATTTATAATATTAGTAGGAATACATAACAAAATAAAAATAATTTAAAATCCTTAACTAAAAGAATGAATTACTTACTCTGCTAAACTCAATTCAAAAAGCTGCTGATCACCGCTCATTCGCTCGCGCACTGAATTTTTGGAACCAAACTCTTTCGTCAGTGTCTTCTTTAAGGTGTTGGATGAGTTAACAAATCTGCACACAATAAAGTATAAATTTAACAGTCAATCAATGTGAAAATGGCGGTAATTTATTACCATTCACTCCTATTCAATTTTAACGAAGATTTTATTACCACTGAAATCAGTTATTAGATATTTTTATCAATGGCCAAAAGCTGGGTTCCTCTATATTCATTACGTCATAACTTGAATTTCATTATGTTCCTTGGCAGATGTACAATTTGAATGCTCCACTACCTTGGATCTTTCTTCTGTGTTGGATAAACATCCCTTTTTCCCTTGGTATTCCTAACATTAGGTTATAAATTTTATAATTGTCCATTTTACGTACCTGCACATATATTCGTTGAGAGTCTGCATCTTCCCCAGAAAGTCTTCATTGCCACATTTTTCAGAATGTGTCATCAACTTTTCCAACTCCTTAGTTATCATTTGACAATTGTCTTTCAAGTCTGGTATATCTGTCATTTTGAGGTCAGTGTTTGTGGCGGAATTCTTTAATATTTTCACCTTCGGGGCCACGGTCTCTATCATGAATTCCCCCTCCTCCATTAAGTCCATTGTATTCTTATAGTAAGGTTGTCTGATGCCGAAAGCTGTAGGCGGAGGAGCTTCGGTTAGACCTTCCCTGGTTTTAGCCATCACAAGTTTTAGAAGAGTTTCTAAGCCGATTTTATGGTCGTTTAAAAGATGTCGGTCCAAAACAGTTATTCTGCGAAAACATTTGCTATTTGAATTAGTTGCTATCTAATATAATCTAAATATGGAATAATTTATAAAAAAAATACACATCAAGAACTATTTATAAAAAGGCAAATCATTATTTGTCAAATACAAAACTTAGCAATATCCGAAATTTTATTCTTGAGAAGTAAAGATTATTGTATTGTGAAAATTAGTGCACTTCAAATGCATTGCAATCATATAAATACAAGTTATAAGTTAATAGCTTAAGTTACATGAACATATTTTAACGATTCTTTTTTGAGTTTCTAAGCATTTTTAGACAATCTGCAAACGGGACATTCTATTTTGACATTGCGCTTTCGATGATGTGCGTTTTTGACCTTGTGACATCTGCTCTTTTTACAATTTCAGATAGTTTGACATTTTGCGCTTTGGACCTTATGTTCCTAAACGCTTTTTTGATGTCTTTGTTCAGGTGTATACCTGCCGCAGTAATACTATCTTTATAGGTATACGATTATTTACCTATAAAAATAGTATTACTTGTTTAAAATTATAAAGGTAATTGTGTTGAATGTACCTCATTTAATTTTCCAAAATCAAAGGCTTAAGTTATGGTATAAAGTAGTATTCCTGTCTGCCAATTTTTTGTTTTGTTGACGGGGTGGAAAATCACCTTCTATTGCCGGCTCCTTGGGGACGCAGGAGCTAAGATTATGTGGTGTTTTCACTAAAAACCACCCCGACGGTCGGCCTCAGGCCTCAGGCCCTACAATGGGGAGGAACCGGACCGTGTGATTTTAGGTCCTCCCCGAATCGACACCAGGCCTAATCAGGCCCTATTCAAGGGGTCTCGACAGTGCCCTAGACTAACTTTTTAGAGCTCACCGATCAGCATCAAATGTGCAGAGATGACAAGAATAAGTTTCCTTAATCTCTTTGATTGTTGTGATCGCACTAATTCGAGACATATCACGTTTTAGAAGCTTCGAGGTACCCTCACTCCTCACATCCATAGAAGTATCCTGCACAACAAAGAAACATAATATCAGACAACATGATCCTCCTTTGATCGTTTCCATCTTTTGGCAAAGGGGAATAAAATTTATTTTGAAGAGTTCGGAGAGACTAATCAAAATTTTATTTTACGGTTACTTTGGTTAATTAAATCTAACACTCCTGTACCTGTTTTAATAAGAGTAGTATAGTGCAGTTGCTCCATTGATTCATATTTTGTATATAATATATCAAAGAGACATTTAATACATTTTAATGTAGCTTTTTGATTAATATTACTCATATCAACCTTTTTTGCACTTAATCACGTATGTGCGAGAGTAGGTATTTATTAAGCTTTTAAGAATTGAACTTTCTGTATGTTAGAAGACAAACATGGAGAGTAAAAACAGATATAGAACTAATTATGTTATTTCTATATCTATTCTGTGATATTTTCAAATCAAGTTTTTTATTATTGTATGTCGATGGAATTCTGCAGTTTTCGTATTCTACTAACTATGAAAGACCAACGATCTCTGATACTGATACAAATAACGTCGATGTCTGTGTAATAGTTTGGTAAACGGTACATTTTAAATTTTGTAAGGAAAGGATATATTTATTTTCCAGACATGGCAGTTGTTGTTATCTCCATTGATGAGCCATTGTCACTACATCGACAGTGTATTGACACTGTGAATTTATGTCAGTAGAATACCGATATCAATGGCATCTCAATAGTGTATCAATGGAATGACAGCGGCTTGTACGGTAACATAAAATAGCAGAATTGAGACCTTGGTCGAAACGTCAGACATTTCCAAGGTATGTACTTAATACCTATAGTGAGCGCGTTAATTTCCGTAAACAGAATTGCATATTATGGAACGTGGCAGCTTAATAAAGAAGTACTGTTCTATAATATCGCTTCTGCAATTGCTTCGAATTGGAAGGTGTCAGCTAGGGTATGCAAGTGGTGTATTAATTCCAGAGATAACTAAGCTGCCAGGATACTAACGAAGCTCTGTTGTAGAATGATCAATCATACTTTCCTAGTAACCTTACTTCAGCAATTCTTCTTCAAAGTCCATTTTAATCCAATTACTGGCATAAAATTCTACCGATTCTCCAAATTTCTTCAGTCACTTCATTGTTATACTCAGTTCATATATTTCTTCTTTGCTCGACCTCTACTCTTATACCCGGCAAGTTAATAATAATATTTAAAAAGGGTACATACATTGGCGGATAATTCGTTGTAGGTATTGTCAGCAATGTCTTCAGGTTGGACAGCCAGCGACGTTCGGCTGCGGCAGATGCGTGCCCGTAGTTTGTCGAACAAACGCGTAGCTGAAGACGTGCGGTTAATTACTGCGAATGTGCCGACATCAAAACACATTTATGAGATTTTACACGAATTTAGAAACGAAATAATTTTGTATTTTTAAAGCAATTGGTTAAATGAACTTTTCAGAAACAGAAAATTAGGTTACAGCTATGCAAGCCTGACCTGCTCTAACTATTGCTGTCCACTCATCCATATAAGCAATATCCCTTTCCTACCACAGCCTTCCCTTCTTATATACCTTCTTACCTACCTACCTTCTTATATAACATCTGAATCACTCGGTACACAAAGACTTGCTAAACACCTTGTTTCTGTGGAGCTCTGGTATCACTTCGGTCGGCCCATTTGCGCAGAAGCATGTCTTTCCCTCCTTAAAATGGTCTGTCTTTTAGTCATCATCATCATCATCATCATCAGCCTACCGCAGACCACTACTTGACATAGGCGTCTCCCATTGCACTAGTCATCATAATCTTCCTAAACTATTTCCAATATATTTGCAGTCAAACCTACGCGTGTAATATCATATTTAAAAAATTGGATGTTTATCATCAGCCTGGTTAATATAGTACAGGCTCTGCCTAGTTCGGGATCAGACAGCCGTGTGTGAGATGTATGAGATTATTATTATAAATAATTTAAAAAAATTACTAACATTTAGATCCCTTGTTGATTGAAAAAATTGTCTCCGGTGACATAGAACGAGGCATCGTCTTGGATTTTTCCTAAAATAACATAATACTCATCACAAATACAAGTAAACCCTTCAGAAAAAAACACAAAGCAACTCTCTTGTCTCTCTTAACAAAAGACAACCGCACTTTTAATTATTGCTGTGGCACAGGGAATTTTACAAGCATTTTGAAATCAACTCAAACTCTCTTTATATCATAAAAAAAAAATTAAATTGTTAGAAATCGTCTTTTATGTAGACTCTAAAGTTATAGATCAACACACACAAAACAATCTCTGTTTTGTCAAATAGTAAGCAAATAAATTCAACAAAAATCAAGCCCATACAAAATCTATGATATGCCTGTGCCGATCTACAACCGCCCGTTTCCAAGGGGTTGAGCCTTATGAGAAGAAAGGGCAAACAAACTCATGGCCACCCTTTTGCACTTCACAGATAGAATCATATCCCAATATTGCTAAGCATGGTGTGATGACAAGGGAACCACTTTATAACGCTGTGGAATTAAAACTCTCGATGTTAAGCGTCACAAACAGTGAAATACGTATATTATTTTGCAGCTTAGTTATAACACTCACCGCACTGGTGCTGTTTACATTCAGGAGTTTCTCATCAGGCCGCTCATGGTGCAGTTGCTGATGCATTTTCAGCGCACTTTCGAATTGAGCCACAAAGTCGCATTGTGGGCAACTGAAAGAAAATTAAACCATAAAAGGAATGTTTATCGTGCAATTATTACTAATATTCTAAGGTCAAACAGAATGTATATTCAGTAGTTGAAAATATCGTATCTGTATTTTTTTGTCTGTATACACAACCAACTACTACTATCTAGCCAAATCTTATTAATTCCTCGTAAGGTTGCTGAATATTAGAATAATTTAAATTAGGCAATAAGACCGTCCTTCTAAATTTTAGTTATAATTTTCACTGTAAAATGTTGCATAAATGTACTGTTTTGTATCTACCTATAGAACAAAACATCAAATAGTTTTTAGGTTGTCTAATAGGCTTCACAGTTACGGACTCTTAATATTCAGATTAATAACTTACCTATACTTCATAATTAAATAAAAATTAACTAATAGTAAAATCCTCAAAATATCTACTCCGATAACTTTGTAGTCAACAAACAAGAATTTTGACGACTGTTGTCATAATCGTGCCCCGAAAGAAGAATAACCATGTCGAAGGAGTTACTGTGGACACAACATAGTTTTTATATGTTCGGTTCACGGTTCCTTATAACTGATAGATAGATTTTTAACTAACAATGACAATGACAATACAGTACTGGAAGGTAAAATAGAAAGGAAAAGAAAACGTGGACGGCCTAGATCAACGAACATGCATCAAGTAAACGAGAAAGTGGGAGTCGTGGCCTATCAAGAGGTTAATATTATCATTCAATTTCGAAAGATCCATTTGCCAGATCCATGATACATCTAATGACAATTAAGAATACGCAGTGTTACCACCCTTGTTCATCCTGTGGGTGTCGTAGCAGTCGACTAAGGGTCACACTAAGGGACAGCAGCTCTGCAAAAAGAAGGCAAACTTGAAACAAACCTTATATCAACCCGCTTGCCCAACGTAGTATAGTAAGCCAAAGCCACCTTTCTAAGGAGAGGCCTTTGTCCAGCAGTGGACTATTAAAGGATGATGATGATGCATATTGGTGTCAAGCTTTCCTTCTCTTTACAGTGTTGTTGTCATGCGTAGTTTGCTCCCTTGGTCGGCTCTTACGACACCCAGGGGATGAATAGGGGTGGTAACACAGCGTATTCTTAATTGTTATTGCGGCGATAAGACTTGTTATGGAGGATTAGCTCGAGAGGCGTCACGGAACCCTCTCATACCGGCTGACACAGGTGATTACCGGGAAAGGTTGTTACGGAGATCACCTGTGCCTGATCCGCAAGCAGCCAACGCCTGAGTGAGTGCCGCCACTGCGATGGCCGGACCGCGGCGTGACCTAGTGGTGGCCATCGGAGTGGGAGTACTCTCGCTAGTATGATTGCCGCCACGGTACGAAACCTGAATTACCGCAGGCGACAATTTGTTCTGCAATTAAATAATGAATTAAAATAAAAGTATATGCACTTACTGAAAACCCAATATGCGCTAGGTTAGGATTTTTTATGGCATAGGGCGAACGAGCAGACGAGACGGGTCCTAAGTGATCTTAAGTGAATACCGCTGAAACAAACCGAAACCTGAATTACCGCAGGCGACAATTTGTTCTGCAATAAAATAATGAATTAAAATAAAAGTGTGGTATAGTTTTATGGTTGCAAGTGAAACTTTTTTCGGATCGTAGGCTGATAATTCTCGTTTTTCAATTTACGGTATTGATCAAAAACTCACGAATGAGTGAGAATGCTACAATGAAATGCTACACGGTCAGCTGATGCGAGCGCCGCCATATTGACTTTGGCTGTAACGCGACATGCGAAGATTAACGTTTTTTTTGAATAAAAGTTAAAAGAAGAAGAGTCTGAATTCGTTGGAGAACCATTATTCGACACAAATGGGCCGTCTCGACCGGAGTGATTCCACAGCTTCACACACAGAAAACTGGTGTTAAGCAATTTTTTCGTTTCTTTTCACAGACGTAATTATTTTATTTTACTTTTATTTTCATTCTTTATGTAGTTATAAGTATTAGTGGTACAATGTTCCTACCTCTTTATTAATAATATCTAAAACTTTAAGGTTGGAAGGAACCTGCTAGGGTGTTCAGAATGCGAGCTGGAACTTTCATCTTGAACGAGAGGCGGCTGGGTGCTATCCTGATTTCGAGACGGAAAGCGTTTCAGAGGAGTATGGATTGGATTAGGAATGAGGATTGGTTATAAAGCGGAAGTATGAGTGGGGCATTAATTACTGTTGGACGCAAAAAATAATCTTCGCTGATCAAAGATAGGAGAACCTTCATTGATTCATTTTAATACTTGTGTGTAGACACTTCAGTGAATAATAGTATAATAATAATAATATAATATATCTCACACACTCACACACGGCCGTCTGATCCCAAACTAGGCAGAGCCTGTACTATGGTCACCAGACCGCTGATAAACATATTTATATATTTCTAAATACATACATATTATAGATAAATTACACCCAGACACAGAACAAATGACCGTGCTCATCACACAATATTTGTCCTGGGTGGGAATCGAACCCACGACCTCCGGTTTAGCAGTCAGGGTCACTAACCACTAGACTAACAGGCCCGTCAAAAAAAAAAAAAAAAAGCTTAAGTACTAAATATCCAACGTATATTGTCTGAAGATTAAACAAACATATAAATCTCAAAATATAGACGGAATCTTAACTAAATCTTAAAAATAACTGCATATGAAAACCTAAAGTGTCCACAATAAGTGTGTGTCCACACATTGAGATCCCTCCGTGCCTCGGAGAGCACGTTAATCCGTCGGTCCCAGTTGCCATACGAACATCAGTGGCAATCGTTACGGGTACTTGGAGCTCTAAAAAGTCTGACAACATTACGGTCTATCTACAGAACTTCGATATCGCCTAGTACTTGTGTTCGAAGTTTAGCCGTATCGTAGTTCAGTAGACTTAAAGCCAAAAAAAAAGACTCGGAAGAAATTTTTTAATCTAAAGTGTGGTAACTTTACTTAATTCAGGTCAAACAAGCATGATGAGTAATGTAGGTTTATGTAGGAGTAATACATTAACGTGTAAGTATCCTTAAATCAGTGATTGTCAAACTTTAAAACTCGTAGCCCCCAATCGTTTCCTCAATCATAAACAAATGTATTTTGATTGCACTCGGGGAAAAAATAGTTAGTTAGAAAATATACCTATAATCATCAACAGCCTTTAATAGTCCACTGCTGGACATAAGCCTCTCCTTAGAAAGGAGGTTTTGGCCTACTATACCACGCTGGCCAGACGGGTTAGTATAGGCTTTGTGTCAAGTCCAAGAGGCGGTGCGCCTGGCCACAGGGGGAGTTTCCCTGGTGGTCGGGCGCATTGAGGCGCTGGGCTTACGGGTGGCTCTAGATAAGACGGAGGCCCTGTTATTTCATGGGCCCCGTCGTGGTCCACCCCCTGGCGCCTCAATCGTGGTCAACTCGGTCCTCGTACCGGTTCGGGCCCAGATGAAATATCTGGGCCTGATCCTCGACGGGAGGTGGCTCTTCGACGAGCACTTCCGACAGCTTGCTCCAAAGCTGGTCGGCGCTGCGTCTGCCCTAGGGCGACTTTTGCCCAATTTGGGTGGACCCAGCGTCGCGACAAGGCGGCTGTACACGGGGGTTGTCCGGTCAATGGCACTATACGGTGCACCGGTGTGGGCAGCGGCTCTGACCGCCCAGAATAGGGCACGCCTCTGGCGCCCTCAGAGGGTAATGGCGGTCAGAGCCATACGCGGTTACCGCACCGTGTCGACGGAGGTGGCGTGCGCGTTGGCCGGAACTCCCCCGTGGGATTTGGAGGCGGAAGTGCTCGCCGAAGTTTATCGGCGAGTGGCTGACTCCCGGGCGGAGAGCGGATTTCGCCCCCCGCCCGAGGATGTGCGCGAGTGGCGCGAAGCCGCTCGCCGAGCCACGATGGCACGTTGGTCGTTCCGGTTGGAGACTCCACGCGCTGGCTTCGCCGCCGTGGAGGCTCTCCAGCCGGTCATCGCCGAGTGGGCAGGGCGGCAGCACGGGACCCTTTCCTTCCGGCTGACGCAGGTGCTTTCCGGGCACGGTTGCTTCGGAAAGTACCTGCACTCGGTCGCTAGGAGGGAACTGAGTCCCGCCTGCCACCACTGCGACTGCAGTGAGGACTCGGCCCAGCACACGCTGGCGGTCTGCCCCGCATGGGCGACGCAGCGCCGGGCCCTCACTGCAGTCATCGGAGTGGATCTCTCGCTACCGGCCGTAGTACGCTCCATGGCCGGTAGCGACAGTTGTTTTAACGCGGTCGCAACCTTCTGCGAGGAAGTAATCTCGCAGAAGGAGGCGGCGGAGAAGGCCCGGGAGGACGACCTCCACTCGGACCCGATCCGCCGCCGGCGAACCGGGCGGCGGAGGCGCGCCTATCACCGCCTCATGCCGCCCTGAGTGTGGCCGCGGGTGGACGGGGTGGGTTTCCCCTCCACCCGCATTAGTTTGGCCAGCCGCGAGGGGGCGGCGTTGCCGGTCGCCTAAAGAGAGGAACAATTTTGAGACGGGGCCCGCAACTGGAGCGGGCCGGCGCTAGGAGGGGTCCGGATGTCTTAATAACAGCTGTTCCCGGATCCCTCCTATTACAGGCACAGAGTGGCACACCGTGTGGTTTTAGTCGGTCCGAGTCCGACACACCACCCCGCCGCAAACCCCGGTGAGGTGACGGTCCGAGGGGATTTCCACACGTTAAAAAAAAAAAAAAGGCTTTGTGTCAAGTTTTCCTTCTCTCTGCAGTGCTGTTGTTCTGCGTAGTTTTCGCCGTCGCCGTTTGTTAATAATATAGTATAATAATAATATTTTTCACACATCTCACACACGGCCGTCTGATCCCAAACTAGGCAGAGCCTGTACTATGATAACCAGACTACTGATAAACATACTTATATATTTTTAAAAACATACATATTTTAGATAAAATACACCAAGACACAGAACAAATGACACAATTATTTGTCCTGGGTGGGAATCGGACCCACGACCTCTGACGTAACAGTAAGGGTCACTAACCACTAGAACAACAGGCCAGTCAAAAACAGGCCTATGGGTTCTGTATAGCTTTTTTAACGCGGCATTCTACAAGTCCGGCTATCCGATTTGGATGTGGACCGGGTAACCTGTATTTAACCTTTAATTTGACAAGGGGTTGAGGGGCTGAGCCTTTTTTTTTTTTTTAACGTGTGGAAATCCCCTCGGACCGTCACCCCTCCGGGGTTTGCGGCGGGGTGGTGTGTCGGACTCGGACCGACTAAAACCACACGGTGTGCCACTCTGCGCCTGTAACAGGAGGGCCTGTTACAGGCGCAGAGTGGCACATCCGGGAACAGCTGTTGTTAAGACATCCGGACCCCTCCTAGCGCCAGCCCGCTCCTGGT